GCAGGCAGGCAGGTAGGTAGGTAGGTAGGTTGATCGGTGGATAGGAAGATAGGTAGATAAGATTGTAGATGGATGCATGGACGGATGGTTAGATTTGGTGAGGTTGGCTAGATAGATAGATAGCTACCACTGGATCGAATTTGTATATTAGACATGAAGCGCATTGACCAACTTATGACCTCGGCACATTCAGCACAGATGCCTGGATGCGCGGAGAAACCATCGGGGTCGTTGCCGGGAAGGGGCAAGTTTGGCACCCACGTGCAGCAAGTGTTTCGAACCCAAACCATCTTGCATGATGGCTTTACACCCCAGCTGTATTTGTCAATGACTGGAAGTTTGCTTGATCCCCTGAACGGTTGGGCAAAGACTTAAAGAGTTGTGTTGGCCAGCCGTAGTTCCAGGTTGATTTTTGATATAGTCGACGTTTAGGGTGGGTATACGTGGTAGATGTCAGGATCCCGTAGGTACTGTTAGTTGAAGCTTAGTGTGGTGGACCTGAATCAATGGCATCGGCAGGTGGGCTTGGCTGTCGAATTCCTTTTCGTATCGCAATGGCGCAGCAACGTCCAGCTCTTGTCACCAACATTGGTAGTGATAGCACGAGCAGCAGGAAATGGTTGGCAAGAGCAGTACTGAGCGTACCGACGAAGTAGGGTGTCGGAGGCGTTTCGTGTTGCGGAGAATGGCAGTCTGGCAGGAGGGTCAGGTACGGCGAAAGGCGGTAATATTCTCGGTTTACAGTTCTGTATATGGACTATATACGAAAACACCTGCAAGCCTAGTCTAATTGTTATAACGGCCCCTGTATTAGGATTGTTGGGGCCAGGGGGTGTTCATGCACATTGAACTTCCTTGAGTTTCATGGAACTCAGACTCGTTTCTCAGAAATCCTTGCTGCGGGACGCAATCACAAAGCAAACCGTTTTCGCAGCAAGAGGCTGCACATTTTTCTTCTGCGCCCGAAAAAAGTGAAGCGCCTCGCGGGTTGAGCCAAGCTTGGCATTAACACGGTTGATGATATAAACCCTGCATTACCCATAATAAGGAATATGCCATACCATGGGATCCCTTAGTTTAGGGTCCTGGAGGTAATGCAGGATTTATATCATCAACACTACTTTAATTCTGGGAACACCACCAACCCAAAATGCCGGTGCAATGCAGAGCAATCACTTGTTGTTCGAGTGTTTTGTGCCCGAAGTGCCAAAGGTCATAAAAGCTGCTTTTCAGGTTTTAGACACCCCGGACACAAAGCTATTCACTGGACCCTCTGCATGCAACGGCAGAGAGTCTTCAGAGAAAAAGGTATTCACGAGCCAAAGGCAATAGATACTAGCATTTGATCGCTTCAATGCAGATTTGAGTCCTTTGGAGTCTTGGGGTATCCGGAGTATCAGACCCTAAACCAATGGCCTACCAGGAACCTCGCCTAGGCAAGTCCGAGAGTGAGTGCTGAAACCAATGGCGACCCACCCCCAACGAAGCGCCTGCACCCCACAGAGATTTGGAAGGGGCCTGGTACAGTGTTTCCTTGCTTTATGCCCAGCCTGCATCATATGAACATATAGTATAGTATACTATAGTATAGTATAGTGCGGGCCAGCATTGAACCCCCAAGTCATCGTTGGGAGACCATACGCAGCGTTTGGCTTGCAAGCTTTTTGTAGTTGCTTGCTCGTGGGGTTGGCTGTGCAGCACTGCATGCACCTGCTATCTATACTAGCTCATGACTCTATATAAGGCGCAGGGAAGCTCACTGGTTACATGGCAGTATCTGGCTTTTTCCAAAAGCTTCTGGGCAGTGAGTCCTCTGACTTTGGCACCTGCGGAGTGTTATCATGGCTCTGTGGCAACTTGTGCTCAGCCTACTGGTCGCTGCAGCCCCTGCCTCGGTTCCACAGGGCACTTCGGTGCTTCAGGGCACTGGTTCTTGCTGGCGTTGTGAGTACACCTAGTGTTGGGCTGAACGGCTGAACTTTACGTGCGATCTGTGACTATGGTACTTTGACATCCTGAGAATGCTTTAGCCAGCTACCAGTATCAAGTTAAGAAACCCTACTTGAAGCAGAGAGAGCAGCGAGTTTCTGCCTCCCTGGAGTCCGTTTCAATCTCTACTAATATCTACACCCAGCCTGCATGCCTTAGTCTGCTCGTTTGTACGGTCTTCCAGTTCAGACGCCAGAAATCGTGCACACCATAGAACTATTCAAGTGGTGTTGTTGATGATTGACGGTTTCACAGCTTCCAGGTCGTTAAAGAGCATGGGAATTTCAGAAGGCATCCTAGCCGCTCTTCCCGCTTTCCGGCGCCAGCGCCCCTGCAACTCTGAGCTCGTGGGTGAACCCTGCGTCGCGTGTCTTCCAAGCAGCAAAAACAATCGAGTTCACAAATTCAGAGGCGCGGTTCTCAGCACTAGAGAACAAAAGCCTCGGCACCAAGCCTAGTAGTAGTAGTAGTAGTA